TTGGTGGGACGTTGACTTGGTGCACGTGAACCGCTTTAGCACAGCATGTACATTGTGTGCTGTCATGAATCTAATGAGTCTTAAATAAAGAATAGGGTACACAGTGTCTTAGCATGTCTGTGTGTACGTATGAGTCCACGTGAATAGATTTGAACTCAAGGTACAGACTCATGTTCAGCTGCATAATCAGCTGCTGAATTTTTCATCAGACCTTTAAAAAATAATCTTAAACCAAGTGCCATATGTTATGGGAATAATTCCCCAAATTTTAAGAATGTAGAGTCGACATTTACATTTTTTCCCTTTTTTCTCACTTTTAGTCAAATCCCTCAAAATAGGCACAGCACGTAGACCATGTGAAATTGTCATTTCGGATAACAGGAACTGAATATAACATTTCACACTGTCAACGAGTCAACATGTTCCAACCGTAGCCTGTTCCAAGAATTTTCAGCAGAGTGGTCAGCTCCAGCAAACCGTTCTTCTCTATGTGAGTGGGGAAACTCTGACAGGCAATCAGAGCCCACTACAAAAGGAGAATGTAAAAACAACAAAAAATGAATCACCACGAATGCAAATAGCTTATTGCTAAATTGTTTTGGTCTGGCTATAAGCATTGCCAAAAAGGGGTCTTGAAGTGGGATGGCGTGAAAGCGAGAGATGGAAGGACAGGGTTTCTTTCGCAATGGAGAGCTGAATTATGGGTAGGTTGATTGACATGGTAGCATGTGAACTTGTTTTTGTCAGGGAATTGTTTACAAGATATTTCCTATCCCAATACATCATCAGATACAGACAATACAAAACAGAGTCAGATTATGACGGATGCAGGGTAATTAGTCTCTCTTCATTCAGTCATGAATAAATATGATTACAAGTCCTGCTCAGCTCTTCTGTCATTTCTCTGAAACAGCGGATATGAAAGACCACATCTCGATTAGCTTCGATGTCAATGACCGTAAAATATGGCTCTTTTATTCTTCACCAGCTTTTTTTAATATTACATCTTCATTTGGGATTCAGATGATTACCCTGTTCACTGTGCCAAAGCCACTGTTTTAGACCACAGGCGCTTTGACTGGCATTGCCTCACATTAACCATTTATTGTCCTGTACACACTATGTGGCCAAAAGTATACGGACGCCCTTTGTTACCAGTTGTGTACTTTTTTTGGGGGTGTCAGTCATGAGCTTGGCTGAGACCCCGAGTTCAAATTAAATGTAGTTGCAATGCTACAGAATACAATGTTTAGACATGCGAGGATTCTAACTTTGAGGCAATAGGTTGTTAGAGGCCTATTTTAATTTTTTCAATATGGCAATGCTTCCTTGCACCAATCGAAAGTTTTAAAAATATATAGATATCTGTGTTTTGTGTGGAAGAACACCCCGTCTTCTCACATTTCACAGCCTTTAGAATGAGTTGGTGAATGTGAAACAAGCATTATAGCCCGGAGTCAGCTGCCAAGGGTACAAACTTTCTTGAATGTAACTGTTTTAATGCCGTCTTTTTGAATTTTGTAAGACAAAATGAACTTTAGAACACTTTTTTTTACAGCATTAGTGTCGTGCTAACCTTTTAAAGGTCAGCACTTTAAGTTATCTTCAGAGAACGTTGAAACGCTCATCGGAGTGATATCCTACAGTATGCATATAGGATATCACTCCGATGAGCGTTTCCAACGTTCTCATGTTACTTGAAAAAATACACAGAGCAATAATCTGATTTATTTCCTCCCTTTTCAAAACAAATCAGATATGTCTGCTCCTCCGAGACACTTGTGTGCCTCTCGAAGAGGTTCCAGTCTGGGTTACACAACATTGGTGCCAGTGGTTCGTTATCGTCTGAGCAGGCGCTGCTATCTCTGACACTGCACAAGATTGATGGCCTCTTCAAGGTGCTGGACCTGCCGGGAAGCACCAGATACTCTCTCTGAAAGTCCACCAGAACTGATTTATTGTGAGATATAGACAAGATCTAAAGCCAGGCAATTTGTAGAAGACATTCTGTAGTTTGCTTTCAAGGTTTGGCAACTATTGAGGGAGTTTTTGTGTTTCCTTGAGTTAAAAACTTGCCAAATCATGTTGTTTTTGAAGGAAGTACAGCTGTTTAGACGCTGAACTACGTGAATGGCACACATCAACTCTCCTTAGTGCACATAAGAAACATTGTAAATCTTATTATGACCCTCAGATTCCATATCAGCATGTCTTAGTGATGGACGATGGCAGACTTCTCTACACCACAGCCTCCACACCCTTCTCTTCTCACTCCACTCTATTAACATCAAAGTACTTCATGCATTGGCTGTCAGTATTGCCATTTTAACATAAATCATTGAAGACTGGGTTCCTCAGTTTCCATACCAACCAAAAAATGACCACTTAAACACAACCAATATAAGTGACTATGTCAGACCGTGATGAAAACTCTCATTCATGGACAAAAACCACATGCTCACGTCCACACGTGCTCTCATACGTAACATCACGGATGACTTCCTCCTGCACTTCCTGAGAGTAATTCTTTGTTATATGGAAAGAAATGAAGCAAATGGAAACGCGTATTGTGTTATTTTATATCAAAGGTCCTCTCCTTGCCACCGCTCCAAAACATAATCCCGGCACAGACAACACAAAAAGCACAAACCGGCACGCCCTACAGAAATGACTGGAGTAATTGTTTATTGAAAAGGGTCATTTCACATGTCCCAATGATGGTTGCGTGACGTTTTCTTCCAAATCATGAATTGAAAGGACACTAATGTTGGATGCCATTGATGTGTTAAAAGTGTAAAACAGGATACTGGACTTAAAGGTGGCATGACTTGATTATAATGTCAACTGGAACATTATTATAACTTCTGCTAAGTGTTTATGTCTATGACATAATTCCACAGGGGGGTTCAACAGAGGGGAAACATGTTGTGAGCTAACAAATGGAACATCCCTCATACACTGTGGAATACATTACACTGAATCGGAAGGCATATTACAACCATTTCCATTTTGTTTTGGACACAATTGACTTGTATGTACATTGCAATGTTCCCTGGCAACAGCATGACAGTCTTTTCAAAACATGGAGCCTTTATTCAGGGAGGGATTAGGATTATATTGTATTGTCAGGCAAATTTAGGTTCAAATTACTGCAAAGCTTTTCAACAAATTAGGGCCAAATATCTTAAACTGTGGTATAAATATGCTACTGTGAGAAGAGAGAGGAGAAACTATTTGTGGACTTTTGGGCTTGGACGTTGTTTGACGTTTTGGATATGTCACCTTTGTCCGTCCAATCTGCTGAAAAAGTTGATTCATAATTACTTCGCATTAGCTTCTTTTTTCCCATGCAGTATGTTGTTTCTTGTTATTCATCGAAAAATGTTTACTGGAAGACATACTTCCCTTTTTCTCGCAACATGAATAATGATTAGCTTTGATGTTTGATCCTTGGTCAGAACGAAGAGCACACAGAGTTACAGTCACATTATTTGTCTGCAACATTTTTGAATGTAGCTGTGGTCAGTGTGTTGGTGTTGAGGTCAGGAAAAGACTGGCCTTATTCTGGCCCTATACTGGCCTTATTCTGTGTTTATGACGGATACTTTAAAGGAGATTTTTTTGTAGAATTGCATTTCACTGTGTGTCAACTACCAAACGATAACTGCAGTTTGCATTTCAAACTTTAAGCAGAGGAGAGGGGGTTTTGGATAGAGTGCTGTGCTGTTTCTGGTGGTAGCGGAGAGAACCTTGTGGGAGGTCACGCTGTGGCTCTGTGTACGTGCAGAATGTGAATAACCTCAGCCTGTACACTTTCTGTTTTCCTTTGAGGAGTGAAACTCGGCAGGTTGAGGGCTGCGGGTGACTCGGGGTGAAAGGGAGTCTTTCAGCTGGACACATTTCAAGGATGTTTTGGGAAGCAGTGATGGAAACGGTGGGGGGGGGGAGAGGTGGCCCATTCCCCCCCCCCCTAGGGTCCTTGTGGTGTCAGAGCAAAGAAAGAGAGGAAGGGGGAGTCTGTTGTAACACAGAATGTCTTTAGCCTGCTCTGTATTAACCTCAGTGAAAACAAGCCTCTACAGAGTTCAGCCACAGTGACACACTCTGGAGCATTGGACCACTCACCGAGGACATGCTCCCTAGGTCCCTAAGGAAGGGGAGATAAAAGCAACAGGGGGGGAATTATGAGCTGCTAACCCACACCTAAACTAATATTTATGTACCATACTTACAGCACGGATAAATGTTGACAATTGCTCGGTTTCGGTTTTCCCAAAATAAGCAAAGTAAGTCAGGTGGAACACTTTCTGACTCTGTTTGATTAAATCCTATGATACTGAAGGTATTACGAGAAAGCCTACTCACCATGTCGGACACTAATAAAAACACAAAGGTGAATCATGTCAGGTTGAATGCCTGTGAGTGAGCAGCATTCGAAAGCCATGAGAAATATCTGATAAAAAACATTTAGTGGAAAAAGTACCTTGATCTTACGAAAGCAAAAGTACCTACAACAGTGTAAAAGCACGCCATTTCAAGTAAATAGTTCATTTGCCTGCTCCTCAATGCCAAAATTGTAATGTTTATATCTCTAATCTTTATAATTTCATACTTTGTATTGCTTCTAAATTCAGTTAAAGGAAACTACGCAGTACATTGATACATGGGAGATAACACTGACCTGGCTTAAACTGAATGTGTTTGTTCAGAGAGAATAAGATGAAACAGCAGTCAAAGTACAGCGTGCTCTGTGTTAAATATTGACGAGTGAACTGTACTGATGTACTGAGTACACAGCGTGCTTGTAAGGGGTGAAGAGCAAGAGCATGCAGGGCCTGTTACCCATATTAATCTTTCACAACAACACATCAGGATCTATTATTATTGCGTTGACCTCTCTGGCCTCTGCGATTTCAACATTATGACTAATACACCCTTAAGATTCACTTAGAAATCAATACAACATATGTATTGAGCATTGTAGAGGACATGGGATCACAATGGGTTATATTTATTTTAATACATCGTATGGCTATTCTATACAGCTTATTATTCACGCCAGATAAATCCAGTTGCACAGTGATTCTTTATGTGTAGTAAAGGAAGGAGGACAGTATAACCAACAATGAAATAAGTGACTTTTAGACATGAGTTTTTTACAGAATTCAACATTATAATGCATGATTTTGGAGTACATCAGCACAGATGACTTGCACGCTGTATAAGCTCAAACATGAGAAGGTTCAATGCACAGAAAGATTAATGAGTGTGTGGGTGAATTACTGGTTAGTAGAGACCACACAGCTGGCACATGATTTTTCAGCATCAGCGAGAAAAACAAAATAAGCACTGGTTTATATTGCAATTTGGGGTGACTCTAAAATGACTCACTAAATACCCTCATATACATAACAATACATACTCATGGTTTATTATGAATTAGGGTTTTGGGCATATACATCAAAAGCTTTAATTACATTATTTGTTTTTCTTACATGTTGAGGCAGCTATATTTAGTTTTTTTTAGTCAAGAGTTGAGGAATACAATTTGCATTTGAAGTCCAGATAATAGTGAGAACACAATATTGTCACAATTTTAGCAGCTGAAGTAAGGAAGCTTATCATTTCCTATTTAGTTTAATCAAAGCTTATAAAACAAAAGTCCTTGTGATACAAGGCAACTATAAATATTTTCTTAGAACACGTACCTTATATTGTACCTTATACCTTATATATATATATTGGTTTTTCCTTAACTGGACAAGCAGTTTCACAAGTTTTATTTCCCCCTAACTTTGGCAGTGATCTTGTAGTCTAACGGTTTTAGTGTTAAACCATAGGAGCAGTTTAAAGACAGGTCATCATTATCACGTTTTTCAAATCTGCATTGGTGGAGTAGGATTGCAAAGAACATAAATATCTCAACTTTGGCAATCTGGTTCCCAATACATCTTCTCTTCCCTGCTGAGAAGATCATAACGTTGTTGGTGATATCCTTGTCAAGGCAGCCCTTTTCATCTAGAAAGCGCAAGGGGTCAAAGATATGTGGATCCTTCCACTTCAGGGGGTCGTGATTAATGGACCACTGATTGACGAAGACCACTGTGTCTTTGGGGATGTGGAGACCTTCGATGGTGACGTCTGAGGTTGTGCAGTGGGGGATGGTGATAGGGACGAAGCTGGTGAAGCGCATGGTTTCGTAGATGAAGGCGTCCAGGTAGGTCAGACTGTTTCTGTCTTTGACAGNAATCAAAATAGCCCAACTTTTCAAAACTGTCAACCAATGGTGACGTACCTTCACCTGTTAGCGACACAATGCTTGAACAGCACGTTCTCTAATAGGGAGTTGGCTCAAGGAATAAGAGGTTCAAATAAGGGCAGTGTCTGCAAGATTCAATACAACCTGTCTGCACCGAGTAAACTAAAATATGCTCTGAGACAGTGAACAAATGTGCAATCTCATAGTACGTCCCAGCACACAGATATCTGTCTATGAATACCTCAGTTGTACAGTGTGAATGAGGTCAAAGGCCATGTTATATTTCAATGTGTGTTCATTGAGTTATACTGGAAGTAGTGTATCAGGTTGTTTCTGTACTGAATGACAAACTGATTGACTTAACAACTGAGTATCTGCACTTGTGAGGGATCTTAAAGTCTGTTGATAACTGCCTTACTGACTTTGACCTTTAAAAAACGAGAGCACAAAAAAACCTCACTGACATTTAACCGTCTGACTGACTGAGTGCAAGTAGTGGAAGAAGTATTAAAGAGGCACTGTTATGCTTTTGGGGTTTCCCCTTTCCTGTAGTGTGTTCTGGGGGTTTGTGTGCATGTGAATGGTCTGCAAAATAATAAATATTACATAACAAATACTTAGATATTGTATTTGAGTAAAAGTAGAATTACTCAGATCTTGTACTTGAGTAAAAGTAGAAGTACCAGGGTGTATGAATACTCTGTTACAGTACAAGTCCTGCATTCAAAAATGTTACTCAAGTAAAAGTAGAAAAGTATTATCATCAAAATATAGTTAAAGTACCAAAAGATTGGTCCATTTCAGAATAATTTATATGATATGTTTTATGATATATCATTAAAGTGTTATCAAAGCTGGTGAAGGTGCAGCTAGTTTTAATGACTTTGTATGCTGCAGTGTAGCTTGTGCATTTACTCCAGGTGGAAATAAAGTAGCAACAAATGGCACTTAAGTACAGTACTGGAGTAAATGTACTATTTACTTCCCACCACTGATTGACTGTTAGTGATTATTTGACAGGTAACTGACAGTTTAACTGATCTGACTCTCAGTCCATCACCTGCTGATTACCTGCGGACGTCAAGCAGGTACCTGAACCCCCTTTGGTAACCAAGATAAAAGGACTAGGAAGTAAGGAAGTAAGGAAAAAGGGAACAGAAGAAGGTTTTCTCACCGTTAAGCCGAAGAAAACTTTCCCTTCTCCTCCTTTTACCCCAACGGTCCCAAACCGGTTGCAAAACCAGCTCACAAACTGGGTTAAATCCGCTCCAAACCGGACCAGGTTTATCTCGGACCTTCTCCAGACCTTCACCCCTTCTCTGCCCCAAACAGGTAGTCCAGGTGTGGACGTGTTAGGGTGTAAAATAAGGGTTAAAAAGACCCGGATCGTGTGTCTCTACCTGAGACAATAATCATTGCTGTGGGCGGGGTGGCCAGCGGCAGGCAAACACGGAAGTGACGTCATCGCGTTAATTTTTATGTTACGCTCTTAAAGTGAACGTCACTGTATTTTTATTATCTTTACTGTATTTGTGTTATTTGTATGTATTTTGTTATTACTTTATACGTCCAACCCCTGAATACATGATGTTAATATGTTCTTGAATAAATACAATTAAAAAATAAAAATAAAAATCTTAAAGTTAACGTAAGGTGTTACGCACGTAGGCGGAACTTGTGCACAGCCACTTTGTCTATGCAGGAACTTTAAAGTTAGTTAGTTTGACAGGCAGTTGTTTAGTGTTGGATTGGTGTTACATTCATTTGTTAGGAGTATTTATAAGCTGCAGGGTTTTAGTCGAGTTGCGGGCATGGTCTCCACGATCCAAAACACCAACGTGAAGCAGGTAGGACTCACCTATGTCGGGTTATTATATTATAATGTAGGGCTGTCTCATACACAAAGACATGGCCACAAACATCCAGAACCACGCCCTGTGGGAAATATTAGCAATACCACACTGTTTTTTTTGCGTGCCCTTCCTGAGTTTGAATGATCATGTATTTTAATCTTCCTCACTTCCTCACAGTCTTATAACTCGATGCCTTCTCAAATGCAGCTCATAATGCAACACATTATTTCCCCAACGTCCATAATCTTTAAGCTCTAAAACGTCCCATAACAAAGGGAGAGCATTGAAAGGGAAACACGTATTTGTTTTATTTTAAAATCATGCAATCTGAATGTTATGTGTGCCGAATTGATGGGTGGGAAGTATTGTTTAAAATAAAACACAAGTCTTATTTTAACTGTGACATACCTGCACCAGGTGGCGGGGCAATGATACAATTGTATATTCTGTGATAGGGGTTTGGACCATATGAGACTGAAAAAGGGCATTGCCTGCAAATACTGTAGGTAATAGACTTATACACATGTATTTTCATGTTACTTTATACTCCTACTCCACTAGCCAATGTTATACTTTTTACTCCACAGATGTATTTACTTGTTAGTTGATAAATTGGCTTCAAGAAGCCTTTAATATAAATATACTTCACTGTTCCAGCTTCTTCAATGTGAGGATTTGCTGCATTCACTTTCTGCAATGAGTAGCCTACTTTGACTCCTGATAAGTACATTTTCCTAACCGTACTTAAATACTTTTGACTTAATTACTATTCTTTGTTGTCTGAAGATGCAGATCCTGTTTCTATTTACATATATAGACTTTTGCAATACTTTTTATTTTGTATTTTATTATATACAGTATGTTGGATTGTTGGAGGAGCTCAGGTCATAAGAATGTCATTGCCATTTCTACACTGTAACGTTATGCATATGAAAATAAAAGCTTTAAAAGCTTTAAAACCTTTGAAATCTTTGAATCTTTCCCCTCTACAGAAAGAGGCTGATCGTGCGGTGGTCGTCGCGGTAACGTCTCGGGCGGTGTTTGACTGTGGAGCTGATGATGGAGATGAGGTGTGCGAAGTGGGCGTGGCTTTCCCTCTGCTACAGGTAGACTCTAACACTGAACTATTAAAAACGCTTTCTTTGGTTAGTGAAATAATGTGTTGCCCTCTAAAATGAACTCAGGTGAGCACAGCCATATTCATATATCTGTGTGTTGGGACAATCCTGAATGTGTCTTCCAATATGAGAGTAACATGATATCAAAGGTGTCCCAACTGTAGCTGTGAACATGACAGGATGTGTGATTACCTAGAAGAGCATCAGGACTGTTTGAGGCATATGATAGCTATGTGATTAACATGATGATTCAGCCTCTATGGAGAGAGACATATGACAAGCATGATCATTTCTGACGTGGAGCTAATCTGAAGTAAACATTGAATACTGCTTTCTATTCCTCCATCTTGTGACTGTGTAACTCCCTCTCTTGGATATCAGCATGTGAAGGACACTGTTCAGGAACTAGTTGATGCTCTGTATGTGATGACTACTTCCATTCTGGAGAGGATCACAAATACATGAATCCTGATTTGAATCCTGACGAGTGATATTTTTCGAACACTGTGCCATAAACTAATTTTGTGTAAAAAGTCGTTTATTTTGAGTCAATCCCACATACACACATGCTGCTGCTCCAGGAAATAGAGGAAGTGAGAAAATGAGGATTCATCCGCCACTGAAAATAGTTCCCTACAAGCGCACCATTTCCTCATATTTGGCGCACTGGTAATGACTCAGCCGTTATTTTAAATTGAAACCTAAATATACTTGTGATATGTTTGAACAGATTTTACAATGGATTTGGAGTTTTGAGAGCAAAGTTTACAATAAGAAAAAGAAAGAACAACACCAGACTAAACTTTTAAAGGAACCTTTTCAATTTAATTCATAACCCAGGCGCTGCAGAGAGTGAACGAACGTCTGTTGGAGGAGAATCCATCTGAGTCGCTGCTGTTCGATGTGGTCCTGATCACCAGCGACAGTCAGCAACAGCAGCAGAGCTCCCGCATCATCAGCAACACCCGACATCACGGTAATATCACTTTTACCTTGAGCAGCACAATCATTATTCTAACTGTGACCATAAACTCCATCACTGGACATTACGGTAGTCTTATTTCACCCATCAGCAGCACGACACATCATAACTGACTGTCCTTTATTTGATTTATTTGTTTTATTCTAACCTTTTATGCTCTTAACCTTTTCTATATTACCATATTTTATTCAATAATGCTCATTAGATAACTTTTAATATCATTTGTTTTATTATTTCCTCCTTACAGTATAGCATTGTGAAGCACCTTGAGATGACGTTGTTTTTAAAGTGTGCTATATAAATGAAATGTATTATTATTATTATTATTATTATTATTATTATTGTAAGGTAATCTTCAGCAACAACACAGTAATTTAACTTTAACCTACAGTAGCAGTATAGCACATTATGGTAATACAACTCTAATCTTCCGTAGCAACAAACATTATAGTAATCCAATGTTAACCTTCAACAGCAGCAAAAGACCTTACAGTTATCTAACCTTAATGATCAGCAATAGCAACAAACAGTACGGTAATAACACGTTAGCCTTAAGAAGCAATCTAACTTTAACCAGCAGCAGCAACACCAGACATTACGGTAATAACGTTTTTACCTTGAGCAGCACAATACGGTATTCTAACTGTGACCCTAAACTCCATCACTGGACATTACGGTAGTCTTATTTCACCCATCAGCAGCCCTGGACCCTAACTTTAATCTTCAGCAGCAACACATTAATTTAAATGTACCTTGCGGCAGCAGTATAAAACATTATGGTAATAAAACTCTAATCTTTGGTAGCAACAAACATTTCAGTAATCCAATGTTAAAGGGGACCTATCATGCAAAATGCACTTTCTGATGTCTTTTATACATAAATATGTGTCCCCGGTGTGTCGGGGAACTCACGCAGCGTCAGAAGATAAATCCCTCTCTTTTTTCCTCCGTACCCAAATCTTTTTAAAAACGGGGTGTAACGGAGCTGATTCAGATTCGCTGCCGATATGACGTCAAATTGGCGGTGAACCCACAGAAAGTTGCTATCAGAAACAATGCCTGACGTGTTTTGGACGTAATCTCGTCTTTGTTTACATTAGCAAGCCTCGCTAACACTCAGAGCTAACCTGTACTGTAGAGGGCATGTGTTTTAAAAAGCAGGAAATAAAAAAAGGAACTCACCTTGTGATAAACCTGCAAGAGAGAAAGCATTTGAGCTCCATACTGTTTCAGAAATAATCCTTGATGTGGTTTAGAACAGGATGGTGTTTTATCACAGCAGAATTTAACTTTATCTCCGGTAGAATTCTGATCAGGCATTAGCTCCGCCTCCTCTTTTTTTTTTTGCAAAAGAGGGGTAGCAGTATGAGGCATGGCAACAATGGGTGAACTGTTTGGTATTTTAAGCAAACAACTTCCCAGACATGTTTTGTATAGGTATTTCCAATATAGGATAATAGGTCCACTTTAACCTTCAACAGCAGCAAAATACCTTACAGCTATCTAACCTTAATGATCAGCAGTAACAACAAACAGTAGGGTACCGTAATCTAATTTGAACCTTCAGCAGCTACAAACATTACGGTAATCCAATTTGAACCAGCATCAGAACTACCAGAGATTACAGTAACCTAACTTTAATCTCCAACAGCAACACCAGACATTTCTGTAATCCTACTTTAACCAGCATCAGAACTACCGAACATTACGGTAATCCAATTTCATACGTCAGCAGCAGCACTAAACATCACGGTAATCTAACTTTAACCAGCAGCATCAACACCAGACTTTACGGTAATCTATGGCTATCCTTTTGTCTTATTGATGCAGTGGTTGACCTTTTGTCCTGATGTCTTTCCCGCTCTGTTGCAGGTCTTGAAATAAGCAGGTTCTGTTTTTCCAGCGAGGAGGATTTCACGGAGAGTTTACTGCAAAACAACGTGCATCTCTTCCTGACGACAGACAGAGACGAGGCTGCGCAGGCGTCACAAAAAGGTCTTTCTTCAAACTATCTCGGCTATTTCAAAATCCATCCTGTCTATTTCTAGTGTGAATGTCCAGGTGAATCATCCTCCTTCTCATTGGTCCAGGTGTTTTCTCGGCGCTGCTAAATGGGAAGGTAGCTTCGTCAGAGCAGCTCAGAGTTGTGTTCTGCGGGGACGCCGTCATCCGGACCGACGCAGAACCACCATCAGCGAGCCAAGACGCCACTCAGGTACTCACGTAAACAAAAGATGATACCTCTTTCGTCTAGATCTTTTGTGCACCAGTCAATCCTCAAATTAAATACAGAGTTGAATCCCACATCAAATGTACGATAGACGGTCTTGTATGTTGTTTTAAAGGTCCCCTATTTTACTGTTTTTCATCAATATATTATAGGTCTCAGTTGTATACAAAATATGTCTCTGAAGTGTTTGGCTCCAAACACCAAACAGATCATTGCAGCATCCCTTAATAATAAGGTGTGGGAGGGGGGGGGGGTTACCTTGGTTGGTGATTGGCTAATGGTTACACAAGCCAAAACATCGTCATGACATCATAAAGTGGCCAAAATCTGATCAGCTCATTTTCAGACAGGTTTTTATAGAAATGGATCAGGACAAAAAGAGAGAGAATCTTTGTTCCTGANTTTGGAGCCAAACACTTCAGAGACATATTTTGTATACAACTGAGACCTATAATATATTGCTGCACCCATCCTCTGGAACTCACTACCCCAATCCATCAGAGATTCTTCCTCCCTCACAGCATTCAAAACATCACTCAAAACCCATCTGTTCAACACTGCATTCAACCNCAATGGCTCAAATGGACTCAGAGTTTGGTGTGAAGGGCAGCAGCATCATCAGGGAATGGAGTGGACAGGTCCAGCCTGCTCTTGTCGCCTCCTTAGTGTTCCTCCTCTGCCTGGAAGCCTGTCTGTGGGAACACTAAGGAGGCGACAAGAGCAGGCTGGACCTGTCCACTCCATTCCCTGATGATGCTGCTGCCCTTCACACCAAACTCTGAGTCCATTTGAGCCATTGTGTTATCCTCTAGGTAATCTATCATCAACTGTGTCCAATAAACTGGGACATTTTAACTAAAAGTGGCAGTCCATTTCAAGTGCTTCCTCTTGTTGCGAGCTTACATGCATAAAAACAATCCTTTAAATGTCTCAATCTACATTAAGAAAAGACTCACATGCTGCCTCACCCTCCGTCACAGAAGCTAGTGAGAAAGGCTCGATCAGGTTCAAGTCTTAACACTTTGCTTATATGTATCTCTACGGTGGGAGGGGTCAGCGACTCAGGTTTTTTATTATCTCTCCCCTCCTATTTTTGACAACAGTCTGGAGACCTTAGTCCCATTCCCACACAGGCCCCATTACAGCCGCGTCCCTTGTTGGATAAGGGAAACGAGAACAGCTACTTAAAAGGTCCTGTTGCCAAAAAGCACCGATTTATTGCCAAAGAAAAAACAGAGATTACCATGACACTTTTAAAAAGATAAACAACTGTTCATGCTCCTGTGTGCCCTGATTGGTATTTATCACAAACTATCTTATTTAAAGTTGTTAATGCCCAAAAAGGACGCACTTTAGCTATGTGACTGAATGGATGGATGGCTTATAATCCAAGTAATGGACAGTAAACTGGGGTTGATTGTTTTTGCCTCTGGGGTTAGATGATTATGCTGTTTTCTATGGACTTTCCATGGCCATTTTAAACATGATTTGTTTTATTGTATTTACAGCCAAACTGTTAATTATAACCATACAGGGGAAATTCTCTGAGATATCACCATTAATGCTGAGGGATCCAAACTCATAATAGATACAAACAACACAAATTATTATGCTTCATAAAAAGATATGCACAACGTTATTGTTGGCCCTTTAAACAAAGGGTTATTGAGATAATGTAGCTGTTATTGTTATGGCTGCAAATATTTGTAGAGAGATTACAAAAAAAAGGAGTTCAGCTATAAATCTGCTTACTTAAGTCAGCGCTTGTGCAACAAAATAAATAACCTTTTTTTTTTGTACACATCCGATTTGTTTTAGTGATGTTCAGCCACAAGTGGTGTATTCCAGAGGTTTCTATTTTTGTAACAATGAGTAATGACAGACATCCAAACAGTGGTGGTGCCTAATATCTCAGTGTTGGCACAACTCTGACAGTGCCTGCGTTAGCTAACAAGTGCTTTGAGACAGAGAAATTTATTCAGAGTCAGATGTTAAACATGAGATTTTAGTTTATTCTAAAATCTAAAGGTTATAGTGACAATTAAAAAGGACACGTTGAGCATTGACAATTCATTTTATTACGGTAATTTCATATATAGCTTATTGTTCCATATTTCCATCATATAAAGCCAACACATTTATAACAAAACATCCTCTATGAGGAATACTTAACATTCAGGGCAAGAGATAGATCCCTTGGGAATTCTATCATCAATTCCTGAAAACAGAGGCCTAAAGAGAGTGCAGTGACATCCATGTAGTTTTAAAAAAGTGACTTTTGTAAACAAGCATGTTTTTGAGAATGCCCCATGATTAAAATACATTTGCTGCAGATGTTGGGTTATTGTTTGTACTGTTGAGACTGGTGTGGTTGGCACAGGGGAACTGCAGTGCTTATACAGTAAAACTGAACCTTGGTGCATTAAGTTTGTGAAACGTTGATGGTTCATGGCAATGTTTCTTCCTCTTTCTTTAGACTGGGATGGATGTCCCTTGATGGAAGACTTCCTTCTTCACAAACATGCCCGCCTTTTTCCTCCACTTGGACCAGCATTCTTTGTTTAATGTGTTCATATGCTTTGAGTACAGTAGATAGTGAAAAACATTAAACGTCATTACATTTATTTATCATACCTGAAATTATAAAAAAATATTTTGCAGCTGCTTTACGTGGCATAGGTTGAATATATTTCTACATATTACAAATGAGAACACAATGTCATCAACTGACTTAATAACATTCACAAGCATTTCATATACATTTATATTAGTTTAAATTGACATTAAGGGGAAAGTAGTAATTTCCTGCACCCATACCATACATGTACATGCGCAATAGTAGACTTAAACAAGCACACATCTCAGAATAATGTACAAAAACTCATCAAGTATGGAGTATTTTGTGAAGCAGTATTTTGATTCATTTGCATTGAACAGTCTATAAGCTTGAATTCTACCTGTAGGTAATATAACATCTTTGACATCATATTCTCAGCCCTGCACCAACAATAATTCAATACAGACTGCTTTAAGAGGCCCAGTTAATATAATCTTTAAATATGAAAATTACACAACAGTAGGATTTAGTGCATGTTACTCACTGTTTAATGTCATTGGTGAAAAAAAAGTGTTTGCTGGCCTTGAGTCGCAGTAAGGGGACATGGTGTTCATGCTGGGGAAACTAAGCCGAGCAGCTTCCTCCTGAGCTTGGCGCTGACACAAAACTGGAGGGGCTTCAGCGTGAGCCCAAAGGAGCAGTCAAGAGAAAGGGGCACAGAGGGGTCGCTCTCAAAGCTGCACTGGTGCAGCAGGATGGCTGTGAATAAAAACACTTCCACCTTTGCGATCTGGTCACCGATGCAGCGTCTTTTACCCGTTGAAAAAATCATCACACCGTTTGTTATGTCCTTATCTAGGGCCCCGTTTTCATCAAGGAAGCGCGCAGGGTTAAAAATGTGAGGGTCCTTCCACTTCAGGGGGTCGTGGTTGACGGACCACTGATTGATGAAGACCACTGTGTCTTTGGGGATGTGGAGACCTTCGATGGTGACATCTGAGGTTGTGGAGTGTGGGATGGTGACAGGGACGAAGCTGGTGAAGCGCATGTAAATATGATTGGTAGAATGTGAATAACTTTTTCTTAAGTTGAAATTTACTGTTAGAAAACCTTTAATCGCTTATAGCAATAAAACTGGTTAAAATTTCCGCAATAAATTCTGTGGTAACCGACGAATATTAAGATTAAATTAGAAAGAACCGACGAAAATGGGCCCTCGTAAATCATTGCCTAGTTATGCCTCCGATCAAATACTAACAATTTGGGCTAAGTGCATGTCTTATAAGTTTAAAATGTTTACATTAATGCAAATTTGAGTCAGTTCTCAACCTGTTTGGCCCACACGTTTGACAAAAAAATTAAGAAGGGCACGACTCAGGGAGACGTCGGTCGTTTATTTTAGTACAACTTTCTATGTGAATTTGTACGTTTTAGAGACGGTCAGGGGTTAAACAGTTTTGGTTTAACCCCGAGGTGTGCCCAAAGCAATGATTGGAGGTGGGTCCATACACTGAGAAAAAAAAGACGACGCAAGAAGTGTGACGTGCGAGTGCGACAGTTCCGCGCGCGGAGGCTGTCACGCGGCCTGTTGTCAACTCCTACTATGTCACCCAGACGTCCCGATGGTTGTTACCCCTCCTCCCAACACTTTCAATGGTACTCGGGACGCGGTGGAATGACGTTTGTATATTCTGCGACCTCACCCTCGTTTTTCGCTGTGAAAATCAATAAGACTACCCTTTCTGAATTCTTGAAGTAAGAATGAGTAATAAGAATAGTCAAAGAACCTCAAAACGTGATACTGGGTGACCGTAAACTAAACTTTCCATAGTATATTAAAAAAGTAAATTCATATATAAAAAAATTTGATAAAAACCCCAACCTTCTTTACATAAAAAAACAAAAAAAACTCCTTGTTCACACATTTCTTAACGTGGTACCTCAACTGGTCTCAACCACAACTTTCCGTTGAGAGGTATATGTATTGGACGGAGAGGCAGCGGGAAGAAAATCAAGAGAAGCGACCCTTGAAAGACCAAGTTGAAGTTAGTTTTTGACGGGAGAAGCACGAATTGCTAAGGTCTAAGGAGTGTAGTGGAAGCGGTTCGAGCGGGTTTTTTATGCCGTTGCACATGGTCATGCCGACCCCGACGGTCACTGCAACACATATTTTGATATGATCCGAGAGCATGGTCGTGTAAGTCTGTGAAACCAGAGAAAGGTCCACCAGAGACCTCCCGTCTCATACGAAAATGATTTCGAATGTCGTTTGTCACCCTTTCGTGTGTCCCTTTCTATCCCGGTCCAGGCGGAAGTCTCGGAAAAGGAGACGCTTGACAGTCTGGTTTTTTTCGAAATATAAATGGTTTGGTACCTTTAACCGGTGAAAAGGAGATGGGGTGAACACCTGCCATAATTGGGACGAGTACTTAAATGTCATCGACGGACGCATTACAGTACACACGAGAGACCGAAACCCCTCCGCTTGTCTGTGCTTCTGGACCTCAAGTCTTGTAACTATTTTTTCGGAACCTGTTCAAAGCCCCTCTGCCATCCTCGTCCATAAACCAACTACAGTACGGGGACCGAAGTCAGGAAAGGATTGGGTCAGCGTCCACAGATATTTTTGAAGTTTTCGGAGCTTTACTCCCGTCAAAAAGAGGAAGCGAACTTTCTGTTTCACCACGTCGGGTCCCGTCAGGAAAGTTGGGACTACACTGGGCCTCTGTAACTCGCTGCGGTAGTAGTTGCTCTAGCTTTGTGCATCCCTTATCACCCCGACTGGTTTCTCAAACAAACTTCCGTTGGCAGGTGCCTAGAATAAACCTCGTCCAGTCCTGTGTTAAAGTTGATAGTACGTCACCTAGGAGGACGAGAGGACCAGTTTATTGGGTCTTTACGTTCGGTTTGACGCCTCCCGAGTATCTGTTTCATCATCCGCGGTTCTGTCTGACGGTAGCTAGCTCGGCCTGCGCTCGTTGGACTCCGCATGGGACGACCTACGGAAGTAGAATGC